ACAAAGTTTAAGAATCTCTGTAGAAAAATACATTCTAAGAGCAACTAAAAAAAAGGTGAATATATTTTTAGTACAGAGAAATTTAACATAGCAAGTAATGACAGTGTTTCTGGGAAGGACTGTACCCACACTAGAGGAAAGGACATTTTATTAAGAAAGTGCTTAGTTATATAACTTCTCAGAGACGCAGCTGAGAAAGTTACACATGCAGACTTCAACAAGGGGAGAGACTGAAAATGGTGCAACTTCTACCAGTAGAACTAGAAGCAAGCTTAAATGCAGGTCAGCCTAAGCATTCTGAAAGACTACACCTGACCTGACTTTTGTATTCTTTTGGAAACAGGCTGCTATGTAAAACACAGGGCAAACAAATCAGAAGCAAAAGAAATACCTCTTGAAAAGGCTCAATAACTGCTACTGAACTCCACAGCATGGAGGGGGGCAGAGTCCCCTGCTGCTGGCATCTCCCACCTTCCAGGAGCAGGTTGGATGACTGGTCACTTGGTCCTAGTTCTCTGTGCTTCCAGCTGCTAGGCTACATTAGAAGAAGAGAAAAAATGCAGCAAATCTTTCCTAGTATATTTTATTTACATAGCTTCTATTGTATTCTAAAAGTGTTTGCAGTCAGACAGAAAAGGTGAAGAGATTTAGCCAGTCACAGATGAGAATGGAAACAGTTTATCAGTGCATAGTGCCAATGACATCTAAAAACTCCCATTACATTCTTAAATAAAGTCAGATTTCACAGCCAATACCACACTCACACTAACAAAAGAACTGGTAAAGTTCTTTGGTTTTCACACAGGCCAACTAATCATCTCAAATGCTAGGTCAGAACACCTCCTCCAGTCCTCCAAATCTAACTTCAAACTGTCTGAACACTTTATAAAGGCACCAATTTCATCTCCTAATGAACACCAGTGAATGGGGAGAACCAGACACCATCAGTGATCTCACACAGCATGGAACACCTCTCCTCAGAGGCCTTCCCCCATTTCTGGTGCTTTGTAGCTCAAAGCTGAACCAGGTGAGCTGGTCATGGACAGAGCTTCTCAGGGTCCAGCCCTACTCAGTATTTTTGTGTCAGCTGGATAATGTGACTGAATAGATTCTCCTTGAGTTTGCAGATGACAGCAAAGAGGCAGAAGAGGGAGGCAGAGGGGACAGATGAGCCACTCACTCTTCAGAGAGATTGGACAGCCTGCAGGACCAGGCCAACAAGAATTGCAGGAGCCTCAGCAGAGATGAAGCCCTGCACTCAAAATGCAACAATGCCAAGCAGCAGCTCAGGCTGCTCCACTGCAGTTCTACAATTAGTACACTTTAATTAGTAATATACCAGTGTAAGGTAAAAGGCATAGAGACAGATGAACAGACTATATATTTCTGCCTCAAGAAACTGCATTGGGAAAGCAAATTCCAAACAAGTCTGGCAAAAAGTTTTATGTATACAAACTGAAACGTGCCTTGAATCCCCCAGACAGAGTCAGTTATCTGGGAAAAATGACTCACAGCTAAAGCATTCCTATTATGAGGAGTCTCTAAGGGCATTTAGGATTTTGAATCAGAACTATTTGTAAATTGCAAACACAAGTTCAACTTATCAATAGCTTAATACTACAGATGAAACAAGCAGTGGTCCAAAAAAAGAATAAACTGAATAACTGAATAAATACATCTAACAGTTGGGAAAAAGCCACATCAGAAAACGCTTTGTATTTCACAAAGAAGTTTTTAATATACATTCATTATTGAAGCCTGATTTCAAAAAAATCCCTACCTTCAGGATTTTTTAGCAGGTACACTCCAGTAAACAATTTTTTTTGTTTAGTTTTTACCCTGATGACATTAAAACATGTCCTATCAAGTCCCAGTGAGCAGAAGAATGCTTGATCACATGTGTGTACTTGGTAACTTCCTCAGTCCAAACAAAGGACTTGGAAGAACACCTTTAAGACCTTTGCTTTTTATGACAGCAATTTAAACATGCAAAAATGCAGCTCTCCTGTTATTATTTTACTTGTTCAGCTGTACTTTTAAGTTTTCTAATGCAAATTTATGGCCCTTACTATTCAAATAAACACAGCTTTTGTCCTTCATTTGTTACACCATTCTAAAAAGAAAAGTGTATTTTTGGAAGTTATTTATAAGCCAGTAGACCATGTGTCAAAAAAGCACAATAATTAAATCCAAGTTGTTCCTCCTATACACAATGCAGGAAGTAAAACATATATTTAAAATATGTGAGAACAAAAATCTGTAGTGAATCTGGAAGAATTGGGAAAGCTGAAAAGCTATTTTTCTCATTACATACTATTAGAGGTTGTTGTCAACTACTGCTTCATTCTTAAAGATGCAGCTTTTCTATAAAAGTCACCAGAACAACAGAAGATACTCTGTTTCCCATAACCAGCCAAGTGGCTGCATCCACATCCTTTTTTTCTGAGATTTTCATGTGAAACATGTCCCCTGAGGTACCAAAGGGTTAAAGGTTGAGAGAATGCTTCAGCTATTGGAGCCATTTCCCCTGCCAGCTTGCTCTGGCTCCTCTGAAGCTGCAAGAAACCTCAGATTTTTTGCATCCTCTTGTTCTTCTCCAGGCTTATTTCTACTTCAGTTGCATTTTGTTGAATTTAGTTTTCCACTTTTTCTTCACTTTTCTTTGCTTGCAGAAGTTCTTCCTCAGCTTCTTTGGAGCCACACCTTCATTTCCAGCAGGCTTAGCTGGCTTGCCTTTGGTTTCCATAGCTACTGGCCTTCCCTCATGGGGTGTGTCCCACTGTCCTTTCACCCCAGCCATCTACACACACAAGGGGAGAGAATTGGGGAAAAAAAAACAAAACAAAGAACTCAGAAAAACCAAACTGGAATTACCAGAATTAATAATCTTCAATCTGTATTGAGCACAAATACCTACAACTACATTCAGACAACTGCCTTCTAATTCATGTAGTTTCAAAGAGACCCACAGGGCACAGCTGGTCTTCAGTCACCAGTGAGAAGTGACCAATCCTGCCTCTTCCCTGCCTACATGCCTGGATTTCCTTCTGGCAGAAACCAAAGTGCACAAGGTGATCAGGAATGGATACACGACAATTTTGCCCTCATATGAAGGCAGGCTGTGGCTAAAACATAGAACTCAACCTACAAAACATCTCACAGTGCACAAAGCTGGGCACAGTCAGCACATGGCTTTTACACAAATGAGTAAATCTCTGCTGAAGAAAAACAATGCTTGAAAATTTTCTTACTTTTATAGGGCCATACTATCTCAAAAATAATAGAGGTGAGAGCAGGATCTTTGGGAAATTTCTAAAGCATGATAGGTATCACTTATTCACCAACACAAATTACAAAGCAGGATGGATTCCCAAAAGATTTCTGACCCCCAAAGATGACAGAGAAACCATACCAGCTGTACCCCAAGGGACTGAAATAGGTTATTCCTAAACTGATCAGCTGATCTGCTTTGCCATCAAGTGAGATACTGACCTTCTGTTTCCACCCTTCCCAGGGTGCAGGTGGAAAGGTGCATGGAACTCTTCCATGAATTATGTGGTAGGGCAAAGGGAGGCTGGGGTCCAGGGGAACCCAAGGGACTGAGAGAGTGGCAGGTACAGCAGGCAGATCACAGTGAGCTTTGTGCAAGTTATAGGATGATCTCGTGCTCTTGTCAAGAGAACTCTTGTAAATTGCAACTGATGAATCTCCTGCCGCGTGAGTCAATAAATAAGAGCCCTCCTCCAAACTAAAATGAGAAAAGTACCAATGAAAAATATTATTTCAATGTTTTTTGGAGCTTTTTTATTTGATCAGAATAGTTAATATGTTCTTAATGCAAAAGCAGAACATCTTCAGATGTTTAGTCCCTTTTATAAAAAAGACTGTGCACAAGAAAGCATTAATGAAACTGTATTGATAAATACCTACTAATTAATGTGTTTATAATGTATTCATAATGTACTAATTTATCAACAATGTACAGACTGTCAACATATTCATGTAAGCACACACTGCAAACCACCCATGTTGGGCAAACTGTAATTCCTTAAGCAGCATCTTAAAAAGAACAAAGCCCATGTGGACACAAAGGACAGGTGAGCTTTCACACCCACAGGATTAAACAGGTTTTCAGGAAGATGAAGATCAACCAACAGGCCACACCAAAAATCTTAGTCAAAATTCATGAACCTACAGAAATTATAAAGAGCAGGAAGACCCCTCTGTAATTTGAATGAAAAGGCTTCACACTCAGTGCATGAAGCATGCTTCACAAAAAAATACCCAGGACACAGCTACAAAGCTTTCAGCCTGCTAATGTAAAGAAGCAGGAGAAAGGCTGCAATGTTGTACAGAGAGGCTGCTGTAAGTCAAGGTAAGCAGAAGTGAACACAGGGTTAATTCTACAAATCAAGTGAAAGACTGCCAAAACCCAAACTCTGAGTGTCAGCCCATATACATAATATTACACCTCACTCCTGTGAACTGTTTGCTCAGCTCTTAAGAGTCCAGTTTGCTGTCTTGAAAAACTGGTTCACAAACCTCAAGTTCTTATTCTTTTGCATAATTTATGCAAACCTTGTAGTCCCAAGCACATGTTACACAGTACTGCATTATGCCATGACAGACCTAAGAGAACCCGTAAAATAGAAATTTCTTTATGTATACGAAGAAATAAAAATCAGAGTAGACAAACATTCTACAGAAGAAACAGGATGAGCTGGGCAATGTGGCAAACAAATACAATGAACAAAAATTGAGAACTTACTCAGACACCTTCTTCAAAACATGATGAAGTATATTTAACGAATTTGCAGGTCTGTGAAAGAAAAACAGCAAAAGTAGTAACTTGCAAGGCTTGTAAGGGTTTGAAATTCATTGCTAAAAGAACTTACTAAAAATACTCACTTAATCAATCCAAGTTTTTCTCTTAAAGTTGCTGGAGAAATCTTATCTAGCAAAATAAGCTTTGATGTAAAAGCATCAATATGTCCTGAAAAAAGAAATTCAATTAATACACTAAAAATAAAACCAAATAAATGTAAGAGCATAATTTGCTGACCTCTTTAGAAGAATAAAATATTTGCTCTTTTGGCATTGAACAGTGAAAAGTATTTATCAATGCTGCACCATAAGAGAAAGTAAAATGTGCAGCTGCTTTAAGCACAGGCATCTGTACCTTGACTGCCTTTCCAAAGCAAGAGATGCCTGACTCCAGCAAAGCTCCCATCTTGGGTGGTGTGTGGGATACACAACCTTATCTTGCCATGGCCTTCATCTCATCAGTTAGTCTGTATCTTCTCAAGTTCATTTGACCCTTATCACTTTGCTTCCTCACTGGACAGATCCCAAAAGCTGATGTTTAACAACAAATTTACTTTTGCATTTAATATACTTGCTTTTCTATTCTGACCTATTGCTGACTTTCTGGGCATGCTGACCTTTGTGTCTTGATTCTTCACCCCTTCCTCACCTGAGGAACTACAATTTACAACTCAGGCCTTGATCATGGCAAGTTGTCTTAATTTAACAACTTTGTGTTTGACACCATGAGAAGCAACAATTCAAAGCTCTCCTTGTGACATTTTTAAAATAAAGGCTGCCAAGGACAGCTTAGCCCATGTTTCATGTGATGAGCAATAAGGATCACCAGTATAGCTTGGACATGGATTTGACTACTGTACCTTGCCTTCTGGTTCTTTCTCATGTTGAAGTTTTCCCAGGAATCTATTCTATTTCAGCTCCCAGCAGGAGGATGAGGAAAAGGCAGCATAATAAAATACAGCCTGCTCAGTAGAATTTACTGTCTTACTATAAATCTGCTCTCTTAGGAAGTGTAAAAGCTTCAATTGCACAGTTAAAACTGCTAAATCAAAGCATTTCACATTCCAAGCTATCCATCACTAAGTTTATGTGTTGTGTAAGAAGACTAAGTAATAACTCCTACTTCAACAAATTAAAAAAGATGCACCAGGACAACCGATTTCTTTTAAACATTGTACATTTGTTACTTTTCTTGTTATCAGTATTTTGTGCAAGACTAAGCAGCAAAATGTTGTATTTTACATTGTGGACTACAAAAAGAGGCTTGAAGTCATTATTAAAAATATAATGTAAAAAATTCTGTTTGAGTTCTGTATTCCTCACCAGCCTCTCCTTAAATCAGACTTCTGTACTTCTAAACACACTGGGAAACATAACTCGGAAAAAACCAGTAATTACAAAATATCTATGAACTACTTCCACCTAGTTTATATAACTGTATCTTGTATTCAAGAAGTGACTGATTGAAAATACTTGACATGCAGTATGTTACCCTAGACTAGGTATTTTTTCCAACCCATTCTTCAAATGATGTTAATTTAAAGGCCAATATTATTCCATTCATGTGAAGGTAAACTGTTCTTGCAGGAAGTTTTGCTTAGCCACTTAATGCAAATAAGGGAGTAATAGTCAGGATAAAATGCTCCTATTAATCAGTAAAGCTTATCACTAGTTTATTTACTGCTTAGACAAGTACAAGTGCCTTATTTGGGAAGCTTGTCACAGAGATTACTGCCTTTGCAGATACAGGATTTCCTATTTGAGCAGCAAGAGGACTTCACAACCAAGCCAGGTGCTTTGCTAGCAAGAAGACAGCTTTGTTTGATGATAGTATCTCTGCTTTTTGAGAACATCCTAAAAAAAAACCACCTCAGCTTCATTTCCCCCCTGCAGCTGCTGCAGGAGGCCCTGGTTACACATCTGATTTCTGTCTCAAGCCCTGAGTCACAGCAGAGCTGAGATCCTCCCTCACACACAACAATGCTGGACAATTATGGGCCATAGACCAAGGTCCAAAGAACTTTTCATTCATACTTACTTGGCAATACAAGAGATGGTTGAGACAGCAAATTAAGCTTTTTCAAGAGGCAAAAACACCTATGCAATTTAACACTGAAGTCTGCTACATGCTTAAAATTTAAAAGTTAAAGGCTTCACTGTCTGATCAAGAGTGCAAGTTGTAGGTACTGGGTTAGTAAGATGATAGTTTTCACACCATGTTGTTCCATACTTCCACACTCATATTGGGAGGTAAATTTAAAAAGCAGTAACTTTATGGCTTTACAGAGTGTTTGATTTAAAAATTCTTTTACTATAGAACACAGCATTTCACTTAAAATAATTCAAATTACAGCATGATTTCAGAAGCTCTCTGCCTTTCTCCTTACCCTGAACAGATCACTGCAGAAGTCTTACCATCAGGTATTAGTGACAGGCAATGAGAGATTCACCCCATTATACATTGCCCATAACATCAGGATAGCATCACCCTCAGAGAACTGTCTCTGGATTTTCAGGACAAAGCTCTCTGTTGCAAAGAGCCCTCTGAGTAAATGTGAGTGCAACACTGCATTTTTCACAGCTCCCTTAGGAATACCAACTGAAAGGCAGAATTTCACAGCTACCTTGCAATATACCAAGAGCAGAAGACTCCCCAAGTAGAATATGATAGCAGCTTCCTATTAAAAGCTGTGGTAGATCTCTTTCATTGAATGGATATTTACTTCTACATATTTTTTTACCTACTCTATAAGAAATACATGGCAATAGCAAGGATCTGCCCCAGAGGCTGGGAGTACCCATTTACTGTGCAGGACAGTGACAACCCACAGAATCCTGTGCCTCCTCAGAGCCCACAAAAGAGAGCTCCTGTGTGCCCCAGGGCCTGCTTCTGGAAAGAGTGGATCCAGGAGCTGACAAACAAACACGACTGGAATAACCAGTGCTTCTCAGTCCCAAGGATACTGTATCCCAGGCATGGGAACAGAGATGTGCTGGAGGCCAGGCCAGCGCAGCCTGCCAGCCCAGGGCACTTCATCTGCAACACCACCTGCACACCCAGCCTGCTGTCTCCTACGTACCCAGCCTGCTGTCTCCTACATTCCCAAGAACCTCCATAAAAAGGGGTGGTGGCTGGATGAGCTGTCTGCAAAGTCCTGTGCAAGCCATACCTTCAGCATCCTGTAAATGGAGATTAGATAGACACTCACTCCTCCACTTTGTGTACTTTGCAAACATCAGCCCTCGCTCCACAGCTCACTGTTTCCTCACACTGCTTGCCATGCTGGAAATGTTAGTAAAGACTTGGATAACATTTCCTACAGGAAGCCCAAATGCAGCTCAGCATGCTGGACATATCCTCAGTGTAAACATTCAGTGTAGTGCTCTGCTTGCTGGAGAGAAGCAAGCCTCTGTCCTGTACATTAAGATACAGTTACAGAGAACTCTGTACATAATCACCTCTTTGTAAGGATTTCTTTTCTAATGGAATGGAAAAACCACATCAAATACTGCTTTTAAAGTTTAAAATTAGAAACATAATTTCCATTGAATAAAGAGAGCAGACCAAGATGCAATTGGCAAATACATTAGATTTCAATTATAATCCTAATAATTCTGTGGTAGCTTGCATAGTTTGTATGTAGAAACTGGAAAACAGAGAAGTTAGCATTTGTAAAATAGCATTCTGATGTGAGCCAACAACAGCAAAAGTGTAATGCAGTGCACAAGTGGAAAGGTTAGGCAACCACAGGCCACAACTGCTGCCATAACAACCCGAAAACTCAGATTTGTTTCTACAAAAAAAGCAAGGCAATCCCCACTGCAGAACACTCACTCACTGGATTGCCCTCACTCAGTAACATGTGCCAAGCATCTTCTAAATATCAACTAACCACTTTGCTGCAAATTTTCTTTTAAAATCTTATTAATTACAAGATAACAATTATCAGAAAGTTCTCCATATATTAAAATGGTTGGTAAAATAATCTCATTGTTTATATGTACCATTTTAATTTCCTTACACAACATTTATCTCAACAGACATAAATCATCCCTGACTTTTTCAAATGTCATTGTACAAACATGAATACAGCATTTTCTATAGGACACAGATACTATTTACCTAAAACTGGATCTTCCTCATCCAACAGAAATTTTAGACAAAAAACTTAGAGAAGATAGATGTGAAAAAACAAAATTCAAAAGTTAAAATAAGAAAGGATATATGGAATACACCTTTAATAAATATGTATCTCTCCTGTTATTCTACAAATATTCACACATACATGTGTCTTCAGCAAAACTCAACACATGAACTTACCAATATAAAATAAGCACTTGGAATGCAGCATACTCTGTGTCCACAGCTGGCACACTTCACTTTCTGTAAGAGCTTCCACACCATAGTAGGCTTGGTACCCTAGTTTTGGCAACAGGAATATGGGAATTGGCTGAAAAAGAGAAGAAAACAGAAAAATTAGCACTCACTGTCCAAAAATATCCACAATTTAAGTGCATTTTGTAGTTTATAATAACCACAGTCCTCCACCATAGCTGAAGCAACAAAGACACTTCAGAAATTTTGTTTGAAGGTTCATGATTTATGAAATCCACAGCACAAACTTCAGAGTACAGAGATTTTATATAGAGAAAGGTGAAATCAACAGGGAAAAAAAGGAAAAAAAAAAGCCTCTTACAAATAATAAAGTTCTGACACTTAGTAATTTTTCCATGTGACTAAATTAATTTCAAGTTTACACTTCTGTGCTCTACTGCCCTCTGCAGCAATTTAAGAAGAAACACACAACATTTCTAATTAGCCTATTATTAGCAGAACTGTGCCATTTATCATTCCTGCCAGAATCTCACTTGAAATTAGAACCTAATGCTTGGAGTCTCATTTGAAATCAGAGGCTTCCCTAACCAGTGAGTTAACCCTAATGAGCACTGTCAGTACCCACTGACAATCCACACTTAAATTTCATCAGAAATTAAAAAAATAAACAAGTGATTGGTTTCTGAAAAATGAAGCAGTTATTCCCAGGCATTACAAGCAGTCAATCAACAGCAAAAAGATGGGATTTCTTCAAAATAAGATTTTAAGCACAGACTCTTGGCAAGTAATCAGTGTTACAATGATTATTTCCATTTCAATGAAGCACAAACACCTCACAAAACAGCTGCCTGCTGTAATTCTGGGATTCTCAGGAGGAACATACCACAACAAATTCACTAAATGATTCACAGGACTCTTAAAAAATTACAAATTACTGAGAATTCTATAATAAAGTTGCCTTTTCTTCATGCTGCAAGGAGTATTTGATTCCAGTTGCATTCACAACCATTTAATTCCAGGAGATAAACTATTTGCTAAGAAATGCCACAGTATTTTCAAGCAGAACAAACAGAATCTCTTTTTGTGTTCTCTGTTATCAACTTTATCTCCTATTTCCCTGCTTAACTAGGCATGATAGCAAGGCTGAATCCTACTTGAAAGTATTTATGGTCACAACCATTCTCAAAGCCTTAGGCCAAACCCCTAATTACTCCATTAACTTTTAAGAATAGTTCAAAATTACATTTTTTTAACACAAGTATCATTACCCAGGCATATTACTGTAGTAAAAAATGGACAATCACACTTCCTTATCTTCTAATCAAGTAGCTTTGAAGAAATCACAAGTTATTCTTCCCTGTCTTGCTACAGCAAATATTTACTTACAGAAGCCATGCTGCAGAGTCACAATTGTCTCAGTGAAAGCATAAATGCTATCCAGGACTGGGAATCCCAGAAATGCCAACATTCCAGAGTTGAGCACAACTGTTAAAGAAAAAAAACAAACAAAAAAACCCCAAAAAACCCCTGAAAATAAAATCTTTACCTTTTGGGCTTTTTTCTTTTTCTGGTATTGTGGCAGTGACTTGACCTTCTGCACAGTGCAACGCACGAGTAACAGCAGATCATCCAGACTGAAGAGCTTGTACACAACATTGCCCTCCTCAGGTGCTTGGTACTCTGAAGGCTCTTCTTCAAGCAGCTGAAGTTCACTTGGCAGCTTTGCTAGAAAAAATGAATAAACCAGAAAATGTCAAGCTTGGACATTTTTTACAATTCAGCTGATTACCTTTGTTCCCTTGCAGTAGAGTTTTTTGTTCAGTTTTTTTTTTTTTTCAACTCTAGGATCTGTTTTGTTTCCTATGAATTAGGGATGAAAACTACTTTGTTAGGCACAAAAAAGCCACATATTAAAAAAAATCACATTTGGGAAACATTCACTCTTGAAGAGTATATTTTTAAATAATCCCACATCATTAGATTTCTCACACAAATAGAGAGAACTCCAAATGTGAGACTCCACTCTTGTATAAATGTGACTCAAAAGCTTCTTTTCGAGCCACAATCACTCAGCACAAAGGAGAGAAAAATTTTATTTACAATGAATGGCCCCTGAGAGCTGCCATCCATCCATCAGGCACTGAAGTAACTCAGGTCTCAGGTCTGGGGGGCAGCACAACTCTCCCACCACAGAGTTCAATCAGGACACCAGCACACTCAGGAGGTGCTACTGCATCTCCCAGGGCAGCTTTGAGCACATTAACAACCATCCCTTCAACCCTTAGAAACATTGTAACAAAATGTTTCAAATCAACACAGTAGCCTCCAAATTGGTTTGCTGAAAATGTATCTAACTCTTTCTTTTTTTGCCCTGAAGACATGTCTCAAAACTATACCTACAAATAGGGATTGCTGTAGTGCTATGAACAAATACATTTTTATCATTAAATTTAGAGTTTATGTGCAGGCACACTGTGGGAGATATTATCCAAGGAACTGGAAGTAATTTTCTGTTAGTAAAATATAAAACTCAAATCTGACTTTGTGCAAAATAGACATGCAAAGAGATTTCTCAGCTTGCTATAGAACTTTCAAATTGTAGAATTATGCTTTCTATTCCTACTCAGTCACTTTTCAGCACATTGGCAATATTGGTTTCACAATCTCTATTAAAAAAATCTATTATAGAACATCTGAATTCTATACTCCTATTTAACACAGAGAGAAATAAAACATCATGCCTTAGCCTTTCAAACTGAAGGAGGAGACATGGTCTTAGTGACTATTAAAGCAATAAAAATGTAGGAAGTGATAACAGTTTCAAGTAAAACAGAATTAGTTGTGTTTACCTACAGATTAAGTAATTAATTCCTACATGATCAAATGCACACCGCCTCAGAAAATACCAAACACGTTTTCCCACCAAAAAGCACAGATTTGTTGGAATTAAATATCTGAGAAGAATATCTGTCCTGACACAACCTGTCTGGTTTCCTGCATGTTTATCTAACACAACACAGTGTTTCTAACTTCAGCTGTACAGAGCTCGGGCACGTGAGGAAAACCTCCAGGGCCATGGTCCCCAGGATCTGCACAACTTGTAATTCTGGGCTAAGGTCCAGGGGCAGCACAGATTCCATACCCAGCTAATGGCCTGAAAACTTGGAGAGGTGGCTTGTGGTGAATCCTCATTTGCCTTCTGGGACAGAGTGCTGGGAGTTAAGCAACAGCAACTGAACCAGGAGGCTCAAAACTTAAGACATACTAATTTAATTTCCCCCCTATTTTTAACTGTATAATTTGATTAATTTTTATTCTACAAAAAATTAAAATAAATCTACTTCTGTTGACAAGAAATTACTTTTGCAGACTAGACTACTCAAATATTTGAATTTCCATGCAAAAAGAACTCATTCCACTACCAAATGATTTCTCTTCTTAAAAACCTTGTGTATAACAACTTATTTCTCTACAGTAAAACAGTATTTCACATTCACCTCTGTGGACAAACAGTGCTCCCTTCTGTGTGCAAGACAGTAATCCCCACCCAGAAAAGGTACTGTTAACTTGAGCCACATCTCTGAACAGATGTAAGAGATGCACTATTGACACTCTGGGTTCAATTTTCCTCCTTACACAATGACCACACTTACTCTTTGGCATCCCCTTAAAAAGCCACGTCCAGGTATTTCTAGAGGAGCCCATGGCATTGGAGGCTGGGGCTGGCACAGCTTCTGTGCTGGAGGTCACCAGTGTTTTTGGAGACTGAGGCAGCTGGGCTGGCACAGCATTAGCATTATCCCAGCTCACCACTGGTTCAGGAGCTTTTTGGGAAGGGGACTTGAGAAGCTCAGTTTGCATTTTCAAAATTTGCCCGACAGGATCCAATTCTTTGGATAACTTTCTTGGAGGTTTCTTGGAGGCTTTTTTCCCCTGATCTGTGGTATCTGAGCAGTCAGTGATGCTTGCTGAAGGACTCTGGGTAGGGCAAGGAGATCTGGGAGTCTCTGCTGAGGTAGAGGAAGCAGTGGTTGGTACAGCTGGTTTGCAGGAAGCAGTGGTTTCACAGTCTGAATCAATGACCAAACGCTCTTCATCCGTGTCACTGGCACACAAAGAACTGGAAGTCTCTGTTTTCTGTGCAGCATCAGGCTCCTTCTCAGAGCTCACTGCAACAGGCAGAGGATTTAATTTTGTTTCACTGTCCAACACTTCCGTGGTCATGACATCCTGTGCTTTGCTCAGTCCTGCCTCCACTGACTGAAAGCTTTTACAGGGAGAATGTTCTGGAGGGCTGCAGCATGGGATGCCATCTAATGATGGAAGCTGCACGCCGGCACACGCTGAACCTTCTTGCTCAGAAAGGGTGGTTTTCTCTTCTTCATCTCCTCTGTTTATGGCAGATGAATTCTTCCCCTCCATTTTTAGGCCATGAGATAAAATGTTAGCAGTGTTACTAGATGCAGAAACAGTAGTTTCCATTTTACAAGTTCTTGAGGGCTTGGTTGTTGCTCCAAAAGTTTCAAGTTCTGTAACATCATCATCAAAGTCCATCCCAGTGTCATCTGGAGGAGGAACTGTCCTGCACTGGTAGGTGTCAGAACACACCTAACCACAGGGATGAGAAAGTAATAAAATTAAAACCCACCAAAACAATAAAACAAACAAAAAAATGAGACATTGCTGAACTGAAAACACAAAAATTATCTACCATCCATATTTCACTGTTAGGAAAGAGAAGCAGTAATTGAAAAATCATTTTTCTTATTTACTGTTGAAATCTTGGGTCCTATGAATTCAAAGACCATTCTAAAGAGTAAAAGTTCACAAAACTTCTTCCAATGAAGCAAACTGATCAAAAGACATTTTAATGAAGTAAACATTAAAGCTGAGATGCCTATGTAGAAGCATTTAAAGGAACTAGACAGACATTTTCTAACAGGGGAGAAAAACCACCAACAGAAAACCTGAACTTCCTTTATCACAGGAAAAGCAACTCAGGAATTTTAACACAGGTTTTTGGTTTTGCTTGTTTTTAAGAATATGTGAATATACATACATCCCACTGAAACAGGTTGTCCTCAGCTGGTTTGTCCATTGATACATTAGAGATTGGAACATAAGATGTTTTAGTTGCTAGGAAATCCATTGGAATTTCATGGAAGATTTGATTCCTCTCTCGTACTGTCATTTCTTTTCTCAGCAGAGGTGGATCAACATAAACCACTTTAGCTGCTTTGCTACCTTTTCAAGAATGAAAAGAGATTGAGTACATATTAAATGAAAGGAAGAAATACTGTTGTATAATTTAAATAATAAATCTTTCAACTTCCAATAACAGTCAAATCCACTGCACATACACACCAGAAGAAATGAAAAATGATCCTTTCATTCATTAACAACAGAAGATAAAAGGATGTCCAGATATGGTGTGAATTATTATGATCCTGCAGCAGCAATACACACCACATTAATAGCTGAACATATTTCAAATGCAGTTCTAAGTAGAGAATTTGTAAAATAAGAACTGAGGATTCATCATTTCCTATACAGACTCATATCATCAAATGTATCCTGTTTTCCAAAAAGATCCTTTCTTCTTCCTTGTTTGAAAGTCAATTCTTTTTTAAGTCTCATTGTCTAAGTGATAGCTGCAGTTTATCTCTCCTCTAATCAGTTACCTCTGTCTGGGCTCTGCTGCTCCACTCCTCTGTTTGCACCTTGACACACTCACACACATGAATCCCCCAAAAATAAAAGCAATGCCCTGCCCATGACAGCAGAGAAAGCCAAGGCACATGGTGAACACAGTCTCCCTGTTTTATAAACAAAAGTAAATTAAAGCAAGGGGTTGGTTTAATTGAAGAGCAAAAGGAAGGCAGAGGGAAACCCTTCAAGAACCACTGTGTATTTCTACCACCATCCGAATGCCCTTCAGGTGTTAATTTTGGATCCAAGAATTAGGTTTAAAAACTGTAATGCTGCTACAAAAGGAGTCAGGCATTATCTTTACTGATAAAGTCATTTAATTTACGTAGGAAAGTGAAAATTTGTAAATGTTGCAGGTATTTCATAGCTTATTTATTATCTGTAAGTCTGCTATAGAAACCTGTGTAAGAAGCACAGAAGGACATTCCACCACAACAAACATAAATACTTGAATAAACCATATTGTGTTTAAAACAAAAAAGTGTAAGGGAGCAAATTTATATTCAGATTACTGAAGAAGTGCTGGACAAGTAAAGTAAAGCACTCAGGTGACTTCATCAGCTTATTAAAATAAACATTTTCTGCTGTAATTGAAAAAGTTATCTTCATGGACATTCACTCCTTATTTACTATTCTATGATGTAATTAGATCCTTTTAATTCCAGAAAATGTTTGTTCTTTGCTTTTTCATAAAATTTCAGAATTTCTGGTTTTTTATTTTACTGAAATCAGTTCACTTGATAATTTTAACAGGTTCATGCAGTTATTTTCTTTCCAAGAACAAGGACTTAGGGTTTTGAAAAACAAAACTGGTTTTAACTGGTGGGGTTTTTTGTTTTGTTTTTGTTTTTTGTTGTTTTGGCTTTTTTCCCCAGGTGGAAAAGAGCTGAATGTCCAAATTCAACAGTTTTTGGTGGTAACTGCAGAGGTTGTTACTATTCTCAGTAACAAGGTGGAAAAAGGTATAGGAAACAATATCCAGGGACCCTGGATCAGCTCTCCAGCTTTTTTGGGCAACCCCTCCCCATAGTTTTAATAACAAAAACATCCCATACCTGCAACAGTGATCATTTTAACACAAACTGGAATTTCCCACTGTTCCTTGTAGTTCAGTCCATGATTATTCAGTAAAGTAAATAATGATTGATCACTTAAAACAACTTGAGGACAGTATTTCAAAGCAAGTTTTTCTGCATTTGAATCTGAACTAATATCCTAAAGAGAAAAAAAAATGTTATTTCTTCCAAAGTTGTTATTTTAAGAAATACACATAAATTTAAATTTACAAGAAAAACTCCAAACCCAACCAAAAATGGGTATATACAACCCCTACCCCCAAAAAAAGTCCAATGACTACCACAGTGCCAGGCTTCAAAAGGAAGTGAAAGAAGAAAAACTTCCCCAAACGTTTTCAGCTGAATCTTATGCATCCACTTTGCAGCATAAGAAAATGCATCTTTTAAACTTGAATTTTCAGTTAATTTCAATACATTTGAATTACTGGGTTGAATAGGAATTTAGATAATAATGAAATATGGGAGCATGCTGAAGCAAAAAACATCCCCCCAAACCAGAGTAACTCACAAATATACACTACAGATTTCCTTATGAGTTAAGCAACAGCACAATAAAGACTAATACTGAAGTATGGTTAAAACTGCTCAGTTGTTTCAATACTAATTAGATGTAAAGAACCTTAAAACAAATACAAAACCATCAAGAATACAAATTCAGAATTGAAATAATAAATTTGTTAAATTTTACAAGTACACATATCCATTAAGGAAAGAGGCTGAGACTGCTCATGAGGTTGAAGAACATCATCAAGGACCACGAAGACAATGGGAGCTCAGGAGCACTGAGGACCATGAGAGAAGTAAGAAAAACCCAGTATGTTATTTTTTCTGACACCTTAGACATCATTAGTAGGGCTTTGTTTAACATCTTTGAGGCTTGTGCCATTCTCCTGCATCACCTCTGCTCCTTTCTTCAGCAAGTGTCTCTGAAATGACACTGCTGCTGTTGAAAGATATGAGAAGAAACTCCTTAAAATAGCTGAGGAAAACTTATGTGGAATAAACAGTGAAAAGCCTCAGTTCTACAGAATGAAAACTCCCTGATTTTTGCAGTGGAACACAAACAGAAATACCAGCTATTTAATGGTCCAATGCAGTCTAAAAACTGTTCAACACATAAAAAGGTTCAATTGCACTTCTGTACAAAATATGCCTTCAAAATAACAATAAAAAAGGTTACTTACATTATGCATCACATGAGCCCTTTTTTCTGGGGTTATAATAGATGTGACAGTGCTATAATCAGTGGGCAGCTGAACAGGCATAGAAGGGAAATCAGTTTTACAACGTCTTGCTGTACCCTGGGGGAAATCAAGCAGCATCACAAAACAGCTTTCACAGCAATCATGCTCACCCAACACTGCATTTCTTATGAAGAAAAATATTTGAAATTTACACAGGTCCATTATAAAGTTATGTTATATGAGAAAACATACCATTAATGTAATCTTTTTCTGGCAAACATCTGGTGAAAAGAGTTAAGAGACTTACTGCCAAAATAATTTTATTAAAGTTTTAATTAATAATTGAAATTATAAATTATAACCCCTAACTCATGAACTGGGTAATAGTTGCAAAAATTCCTAACCCTTGCCTAACACAACTCTGATGTAATTCTACTTACTCAAAACCCCCCACAAACCCAATCTGTATATATAAGGTATTACCATGGCAAGAAGATTTTTTTCCAACTTAAAGGTCAGCTGTGTATGAAACTTTCCTCCCATGATACTCATGATCTCCTGCAGGGTGTAAAACTCAGGATACTTCTGCACATGTCCAACACACGCCCGTAGCAATTCCTAACACAGAAAGAATAATAACTGATGCATTTGTATCTTTCATTAGAAAGTGGATTTTGGGGGATTTTTGAATTTTGAAAAGTTTTTTCTGCAATTTCAAGCTGCATTAAAAAACTTAATAGGTACCAATACAGATCTAGAATACTCTCACAATCACTAGAATACTCTCAAAACACTGCAATATATTCCAGATTCTCCTCAGCCCTTCATAAGCAAGGCTGACAACATATGCACACAACTCAGGCCAATCATTAAAAACATGCAGCTCAGTACAGTCTGAAATGTGCTAAACTGCTAATTCTCTTTTTAGTTAATTATCTTGGCTTTTAGAGGAAGCAATATTTTATGTTACCACCCAGCTTACACTAAGCCTAGGCAAAAGTCACAAAGGTAAAGGCATAGGATGATTCCATTTGTGTTGAAACTCTACATAATATTTACAATACCTGAATTAAGTATTTAGGATATTTAGATTTTATTTAGAACTAGAAATAGTTATTTCTGCAAGTTGGTTAAAACAAAATACGGGCCTCAATTTTTAAGTCAGGATATTAACAATAAATAGGACTTGAAGTCTGGAGACACATTTTGTGACCAGATGACAAGATACAAAATTGCAAAGCCAATCCCACTATTTAGGGACAAAAAAAAAAAGAAAGCAAAATGTTTATCTTCACATGTGCCTAAACTCTGTGTTAACTCACTAATGGGAAAGTTTAATGAACTTTTTTTCAAAAATGTGCTATAAACCCAAGAATGATGCATGAAGTTGCATTCATGTTTGATCTTAGAATCATCAAAGTGGATATTTAACACAGCATGAACTTGCAGAGGGTTATGATTAAAGCCTCAGTAACTCCCAATTAAAGTCACTTTATAACATGCCACTTAGCTTTCCTGTGGAGTTAAGCTTAACATTCTGCCCAGTAGTAGGAGCCACTTCTTAATGGAAATTCACACTTAAAATGCAGCTCCTCCTTTCCTGAATATAAAGAAGCAATTTATTTATTTGAAGAATAAATATTTTTGCAGTGATTTCTTCTAGGACATCTTTTTGGCTCCAGTGCAGCACAGGCCCAGCCTGGCTGCACAGCACAGGGGAAATGGCCACTTCCCCATCTCATCCCAAGAGAAATCAGCAGGGCAGGGAACAGCCCATCCATGAGCACCTCCACCTGTCCTGATCATCACCCCAAGGTGGTTTTTAACAAGGGCTGGAATTAAGCATGGCATTGGTAATTACCTCAGTATAACGCAGGGCATCTTCAGAGATGGCATCATAATCCTGGGCACAGCTCTTTGCGGCGTTTTGGGCAAATTTCATAAATTCTGCAATTTCCTTGTTTACTACTTCTTTCATTTGCTGGGGGAAGGAAAAATCTATTTTTAAGACAGAACAGAATCCTCTATACTAGATATGAAACCAACAAAATTTCCAGAGAGACAGTGCAGGTAATGAAATGAAGGAAGGAATAGATTCCACTTGCTACTCAATTTGACAAGTGTTCAGTTTCACTTAAGTAAAAATTTTTTTTGCAAGGCCCACTTCCTTTAAAAAAATCCCAAACCAACAACACACCATCCTCAACAAACAGAAAGTTTCCTTTGATACAGTGATTTATAAATAGAGAGGTTACAAGACATGGTTGATGAAGTTTACATGGCAACATGTAAACAAGTCACAAAGATACCTGAGTTCTGATTTCATGAGAAATTATAAGTAGCAACAACATAGTAGTTACTGATGTGCCTGGAAACAATATTTCCATTGATACAGCATAAAAATAAATGAAGTAGCATCAATAAGGAAGCATGAGAAACCAAATGCAATGGCTCAAAACAATTTGCTGATTAATTACATGTAACGCTGATTAATTTACAGGACTCAGCATGAAGGTGGCCCATTCCCACACTGCTGAGGCTCAGCAGCAGGGGGAACTCAGCCTTTCCCCCGTGAGCACAGCAGGGCAGCACACAGGACCCTTCCCTGCCAATGAACAAAGCTCCCACAGCTGGCAAAGATCTCAAAAAAAAGGTTTTTTTGGGGACTGGGTGGCTGCTTGGTCAGTTGTCAGAGATCTACATTTATCCTCAGTTGTTCAGATTACTTTTAAAAAAAGAACAAAACAAAAAAGCCACAAAACCACAATTTCAATTAAATTACCAAATACCCTTTCAATTTCTATTAAAAAGCTTATCCTGAATACTTCAGACCTTTATTACCTCTAATAATACCATGAATTCTATGACAAATTAATTATGACAAATTGAACTCAAAACAAGTTTTTCCTCTTTCCTCCTTGTAAGAAAAAAAAAATTGTATGACTCCCTCTGTGACAGTCATATGTTCATATCTTACCATATATGTGAAAAATTCCCTTTGACTTGCTTCATTAACTTGGAAATGGTTTGGTTTTTTTGAGAACTTAGTCATCAGATACAAGTATGTCTTCTGCTCCTTCTCAGTCAAACAAGAGGTAAATGGGTAGGGCAGTCTGGGTTCTGGGAGAGGATGGTCATCAGCTGGGCTTGTAGCCTCCACCTCAAGTGACTCTGCAGCCTGCAGGCTACCAGCCTGTTTGGTCTCTGAAGAGTTTGCCAATGCCTCTGCATTTTTCTTTGCCTCTCTGAAAAAGAAGTAACAAATGGACGAATTTGCAGCTTTCACATAAATACTAATATTAGTCAGAAACAAGAAGGGCAGCTGTGCAAGCCTGAACTGCTCTATCAGTGCCAATGGACTGTTCTTGTTCTGAAACTTCACCTGTACAATCAGACTAACCCTTAGTGCCAGCAGCAGGTCTGCAACAGCTTTAAAAACAAACAAACAAAAAAGGTAGGGTTTTCTTTTTTAAAAAAAACCCCACAAAATGGTGTTAACAAGCTAAATATGAAACACATTCTTTGTTCTGGAAACACACATTATTAATGAAAGGATAAAGAGTCTCCACATTTCATCAGTCACCGATGGCCACTGTCAGTTCTGATAGTCAAGGAAAAGATTTAACTAGAAAAAGCCTTTCCTTCATTGCAGAAGAAGGAAATCAAAATTACTTCATTGTAACAACAGAAATTCCAGATTTCAATGAAGAAATTCTTACGGCGTACACAAACCAAGCATTTAATTTTCTACTCTAAACAATGCTGTAATCAGTCACCAAAAATAATAGTAGATTAGGGCAAGGGGCATGGCTGTTCTAACAACAATAAAGAAATAACGTAAAGCTTGTTCTTAAAGCAGCTCCAGTAAACAGAGGCTAACGAGCCCTGGTCTATTTAAAATAATTGTACTTAAGAAAGAAAATATTTAAGGCTAACAAAATGAACATTAACTGCTGATCTTGGAAAAAGCATATTTTTAAGATACTATTTCAGCAGTAGAAAACATCTCAAGTGTCATTCAAACCCAGCAGTATCACGTCCACAGTTCTTAATAACACTTCACAGCTGTCTCTCTAAATATGAGAATGTGTCCATCCTTGTGGCACAAACTGGCAAATTTAATTAAGCTGTAGCAGCAACAAGATGCTGACTCAGATATGCCAGTGTAAGAACATCAAGAAATTCTAGCAGCTTAAATTGGCTATATTCAGCACTGAATGAAATGGCAGCACATCAAGATCATTTCACTATGCACTGCTGTCACAGTCTTCATTGGGGTGCAAACCAAAATAATCTGACAGAGCTTTTCTGTCCATATTTACAGCATTATACTTCATTTGAGCTGACGGCTTAAATTTTTCCCCTTCATTTTATCAGCAACCCATTTCCACTGCTTCTGCACCAAGGGGACATACACTTTTGTAAATATCTAGGAGAAACTCCACAAAATTAGCAGATTTCCTCCAGCTTTTACTTCCACACTTGCTTCACCAGGTGTAAATTCTCTTCCTCTTGACTCTGGTCACACAACCTAGCCCTATTCATTTCTGATTTTTACCTCTCTGGCTTTTGGCTGCAAAGCCCCTGGAACCACACACAGCTGGCCACAATCCCCACTGCTGAGTGTCCACTCCAGAAAGGAGTGGAAGAGTCCCACAGCAGTTTCAGATGTACCAGTAACAAGCTGTGAGGCTGTGCTGCTATCTTGCCAATTCAGGGAAAGTTGTTCCAACAGGTATGAAGCAGAATTCTCTAGCTGAAGATGTGGGATGAAGCCATGTGATGTAACAGGCACCCCCTCACACTGTCAGTTCATAAAAACACAGTCATTCCCCTCTTGAACTATTTCCCCACATGCTGAGCTCCCCACTTACATGATTTCCCATCCACACTCCTCCCAGTGTGAAGGTTCATGCACCAGGCAGCATGTTCACCTCCCTTACCAGCCTCATAACTTCTTAAACCAAGAGTCTAAAAGCACTCCTCCAAATGCTGAGATCCAGCAGCCTGAGCCACACTCCTCACTATGTGAAACCAATGTTATTCTACTTCCTCAACCTAAGAAAATGACACCAAAAGTGCAAAAGCAACACTACCTGTACCACCTGTGTTCACACAGCTTCATTTCCCAGAGCAAAGGGCTCAAAACCTGGACTCCTCCTGCTTTCTGAGGTTCCACAATACACAAAGCACAGGCCAGCAGCTGTAACAAATCCTTGAGTGCCAGAAAACACGCAGCTTTCCCCAAAACAGTGTGGGGATGTATCCATGGCATGGTAACAAAGAGCACAGAATGATAAAATAATATACCTGTTTGATAAATGCCAGAGTTCAGAGAGGCTCAGAGACAAGGAATGTTTTTCATAAAGTTCATGGGAGAAAAATACTTCTTGGCCATTTTTTGGTGGAATATCCCTAATAAAAGAAAAATTTTAAATAAATATACAGCAAAACAAACAAAAAAATAAAGGCCACCTCTGCTCCTGAGAAACAAAACCAAGATTTATTATATATGAAAAAAAAAAGAGGCCACCTACACAGTGGTTCCAGATTTCCTTTTTACGGAAGTTATGTTTGTACTAATGCCTTGTGTTTTTTGATAGTAAAATATATATTGTGCACAGTACAAAATAATTTCATTATTACAAGACATCAATTCTAGGTACAGTGAAATTGTGATGAGAGTTTCACACTTTCATGAATCAAAAGCAAACTTTGGGTTGAAATCGCAGGAACTTTTGAGAAAAATACACCAGTTTTAGAGCTTTTCAGAAATGCTCTGTCTTGTCTTCTACAATTATCTGATCTTCTATATTGCCTTTTCATTTTTTCTACTAGAGCCGTTCAAGAGAACAGGCTTCATACAATCCCAACTTCCTAACTACTGTGACAGGTACGAGCAAGGATTTTATTTACGTTTTACCTCACAAGCTAAAATTCCAACAAACCTCGCCTCTCTAGGGTTAAAGAGCCGAATTACGTATTGGCAGAGCTTTTCGTACTAGAAACACGACCAAGGTCCCTGCCCAGAACCCCCGCCGCGGCTCTCCGTGCCCTCACAGCCGGCGCTGTCCCGGCACCGTCCGCGCTGCTCCCGCTCCCACAGCGGGAGCCACAGCAAATGGCGCACGCCCCCTCGGGGCGGCGTCCGGCGGGGCGGGAACCGAGCCCGCCCCGCGGCGCGTTCTGCTCCCGGCGGGGCAGCGCGGAGCTGTGGCCGCTCGCCCACGCCTCAGGCGCGCCCGGCCGGGCCGCTGGAGGAGAGGGAGACGCGCTCACCAGGTCAGCGGCGGCGCCGCGGCCGCCATCTTGGCGCCGCCCTCCGGGCAGCAGGTCCGCGGTTCCCCGTCCGCCGCCATGCGAGCCCGCCTCGGGACACTGGCCAATCAGCGCCCGGCGCATGAGTCAGGTGTTCTGAGCCAGCCAATAGGGACGCAGGCTCGAGCAGTGCCTCAGAGTGTGGCCGCCATTTTGTGGCGGGCGGGGCGGATGATGGCGCGGGGTTGTACCCTGCGTGCTCGCAGGCGTGGCCTGGGCAGGAGGTGGCTGCCATGGGCGGCACAGCCCGCCCCTTCTCGCGTGTTTCAGAGGTGGGGCTCTGGGCAGAGGGTGGGTGTCCCGGCTGGCTCCCCCCGCTCCCGGTGTGCAGGGCGGGGGGCACGGCCTGTCTCTGTGGGGTTGGAGGCGCGCGAGGGCTGAGCTGCTCATAGAGGAGGCTGCGTTCAGCAGCTTCTTTCCTCTCTTCGGCGTTCGGTTTCCCTGGCTCACTTCTCGTGAGCAGCGCCGCAAAATCTTTTTTAATTGATGGGCAGGCACATTTTACCAGTGCGGTAAAATGTGGAATTCGGGTATTCTCACAACCCGTAGGTCTGGTGATGGAAACTCATTTGCTTGTGGTGTTACAAGAAAAGGTGATGCCGGTCACTGCCCTAAAGATGGGGAAATGATGAGGGCAGAGTGTGTCTGGTGTCCTGTGATTAAAATGGGGCACTATTGCACAAATACAGGAAAACCCAGAGATGATTCAGAATTATTTCCAAGCCCACCAAACAAGGGAGTCTTCAGTTTGCTTGCAGATCAGTTTTAAGGCCAGAGATTTTAATTCTGCCCTCTTGATTTGCTTATCTTAGAGAAGCAGAAAGGTTTCCTGTCCCACTAGACAGACCCAGCCAGAGCCCAGCCGTGGAATTGCCCCTTGTAAGGAGTGATCTTAGTTCCCGACCCAGGTATGGTAACAGTTCTGTAGCTGAATTATAAGAACGCTTATCTTGGTGAATGTGGCAGCTTAAATCCTACTAAATCTCTCTAAAACCTGCAGAATCTGGTTGGTTGGGTTTTTTTGTTTTTTTCTTTTCTATCTATTTCTTGGGGTTTTTTGTTTTGTTTTGTTTTTAAATAAAACACTGCTACTTCCTGCTGATGATCTTTGTACTTCCATGTCGCAAACATGAGCATCAGGGAACAGGTTTCACTGAGATGGTGATGAAACAGTAGCACAGGCTGCCCAGGGAGGTTTTGGAGTCACCATCCTTGGAAATATTCAAAAGCTAGGCATGGTCCTGGGCAGCCAGCTCAGGGAGATCCTGCCTGGGGCCTCTGAAGTCCCCCTCAGCAGTTCTGTGCTCTTTGAAATAATCAGAGGTCAAAGCCACCACCTCCTAAGGTGCAGTTTAGCTTTCCTTATGGTTTCCTTATGGGCAGGCACAGTTTGTCTCACTTCAGAAAAATTCCTGTTTTAGCTAGAACCATGCAGTTCTTTATAAAGCTGTTCCCTAACCTCTGTGTTGGTGGTTAGGAGCTCTCCTGTGACTGGGAACACTGGGCAGGATCATGTCCTGAGGATAAGAAAATGAAATCTGTGTTCTCAGTGTCTGACTGCTGTGGACAGGGAGCTGCTGTAGAACACATGGCACTGCTTGGTGCTGCCGCTCTAGGAGTTAGCACTTGCACTACTTTTTTTGTAGGGTTGATCTGTAGGTGAAGGCTGCTTCCAGATACTGTGCTTCAGAGATGAATGCTAGAATCTATTTCTGGATCATGGTCAGACATATAAATACTGAGCTGTTAAAAGCTCTGTCAAGACTGAAGCATTTTTGAGTAGGTGCAGAAGGAGAATTTCACATGCCTGAAGTCTTAAGACCAAGCATGCTGCTGACACATTCAGGTATTCCCAAAGTTAGCACAGCAGAGGGGAGTGGCACCTTTGACTTTTGATGCCTAAATTATATTAAAACTTTGATACCCAAATTTTGATACCCAACTCCTCATTTAGATCTGACCCAAAGTAGTATTTCTGCTGGGAGTGCTCGCTGGGAGGGTTTTGTGCCAAATTTCTTGTATTTTGCATTTGATGTAGTGAACTGTGATTTCAAAGAAGACACCTTCAAACAGAGGGAAGCTGCATTAATCCACGTTCCTTCTGGAAAGGTTTCAAGCTCTTGTTGGCCAAAAGGGAGCTCAAAAGGTGTCTGGGGGTCACCTTGTTTTCCTGCTGCTGACAAAACATGATGCACATGCTACACCAGCTCTAATATGTGTGTAGTTTAATTTTGTATCATTGCATTCCTTAAGGAATAAACCTAATAAACCATAACTCAGAAAACCAAGGAAGATGCGACTGACAAAAAAATTAAGACCGATTTTTCCATTAGAAGCTGAAGTTTTATTACAGGATAAGAGTACATAAAGCACATCTAAAATCGATGTGTTCAATGCACTTAATAAAGGTAATGTAATATTAAAGGTACGGTTTCTAAGTACAATATAACAACATTCATATTAGAATGAAAATTGGAGTATTTAAAAGACAACATTAAATCTCTTATTTTTACAGTCATATTTACAAAATGAATCAAAATACTTTTTTCGGGACCGAGTAAAATAACAAACTTGAATATAAGCAGGCTATTGTAAGAGTGAGTTGGAAAGGTCTATGGAAGGGAGAAGTGAAGTGACTGGGTAAAGATCATTAGCAAAGGTTTAGTACAATACCACATCCTCTTGATGGCTTACATTTTATTGTGGCTAGAAAAGGGATTTATACATACTGTACACATAACAGACAGCACATATTTACATGTACAGTATAATTGCATTAAACTTGTGTGTATTTACAGAAATTTGAGCATATCACTCAACGAGGTTTTTAAGTCTGTGTGCTTCATCTTCAATCTGATGTATATTTGTAATCAGCATTTATTCTGGCGTTGGTATGTTGAACATTTAGTAAAGAGGGAGGATAAATGTTAACCAAATGGTTTTGCATAAATATATCAAACTATTAAAACAACAGGGAGAATGTGTTCCTGGCATTACCTAGAGGTTGGTACATACAAATTTAAGAGTGAGTCCTTCTCTCTTTGAAAATATCAAAAGGTGACTTAAATCAAGAAGGGAAAACAAAATTGTCATGGCTTATATTTAAATAAGATTGTAGCTTCAAGAGGTTTTTATAATTGTCCTGATAGTGTTTGCAGTTAAACATTCCACTTATGAAAATATACCCATGGTGCAGTAAAGTTTGTTTTTGTTTTTAGGTCAACAGTATGTTTGCTGTTTAAAAAAAATTATTTATATATATATATTCCTTGGATTGAGGGTATAAAAGCAGTGCATGGAAGCCAAGAACCATGGCTTTAAAATTCACTACCTTCTATTATCAAAAAGTGCAGTAAACAGAAACATTGTTATTAATAAATTGCTCAAAAATCTTTGCTAAAGATCTTATAAATTCAGTAATATTACAGAAAAATTCTAATAAATATTTAAAAGGTTAATTACCTCCTTAGTTAGATATTTGATATCCATCAGTTTTTAAGAATGAACATGAAAACAATATCTAGAATGAAAGGAACAGGGGACAGGAATATTTTGAAGGGTATATGACTACGTAAATTAAGGTATACATGAAAAAATAAAAACAAAACCCCCATACCTGACAAAATGTTGCAAATTCCACTTCTTAATTAACTTTAGTTGCTACTGGCTGTCCTTGGATATGTATGCATGGTGTATAAAGCATATCCAGGGACTGGATTTAGCCATCCATCACGGCAGATTTACAGAACATTCCTATTTACAGTAACTGGAGTTAAGTGTGTAGGCATGGCCCAGTAACATCCGCAGTCTGAGCGTGTACAGATCCTATTTAAAGTGAGGAGGGAGGAAGGCACCCAGCAGAATAACATCTAGAAATTTCCAATGCAACAACAGGATAGAATTCTCCCAACGAGCCAAATAACTACCTCCCTTTCAGACAGACAGCATATTGTAATTATTTTATACTGGCAGGTTAGATGTTTTTCTTATTTTCAATACAATACAGGCAGACTCTTTTAGTAACCAAAAGGATAACAAGCTGGACAGAACAATTTTAATAACATTAATAATTAATAATGTTAATAATGTAGAAAAAAATTCTACATTTGATATCAAGTATCTGTACCGGTGAAGTAATTTTCTCCTTATTAAATATACTATAGAATAATTTATATAATGACACTATGCATTTAAAGAGAAAACCATGTCCCAAATCTTGTACTCTGATACAGGTACTTGTTGGGCATATGTTGGTGTATATATATATATACACAAATATATATATTTATATATAGTTATACTCAGTGAAATTAACAAGACCCAAAGGTGGTATTGTCTAGGAATAAAAGGGGTTTGTTTGTTTTTGTTCACAAAAGTAACTTATCTAGCACCACACATCAGAAAAACACAAAAATAGCACACTCTAGTTCTAAACAGCTATGTCTAAAATAGATTATATAGTAAAACAGATATTATACAGCATAATGTGGTATTTGATAAACAGATAAATATTTGCACTGTGTAGGCTGTTTATAGTATAATTTTATCTATACAGAATGAAAGCAAAAAGTTAACTGTATAGAGGTGAGCAGAACAACATTAAATATTATGACTCCAAAGCAGAGACAAAGTTAGAGTTGAAAGAATAGAGCAAGATAAAATGTTTACAGGCCATTACAAGTCCTTAAATTAGTAGTAAAATAAGGAATCAGTTGCTCAAGTTTAAGAAAGCAGTAAACAAGAGATTTGCATTTACATGCAGATGTCTAAAACTTGTATTTCTTTTAAATCTATGCACAAAAAGTCATTTGTTTTATTGCTTGACATTCAGTTATGGCTAGAATATTTTTAACCTTTTTTTTTTGTACTTTGGAAACAAGAATATTGTTAAAGGTGCCATAAAAATGGACAACATTGAAAACAGTTTGCAAATAAACCACCTAACACTGCAGTTCTTTATACATTTTAAAAAGCCTTGTCTGGGGTTTGTCATATGTTAAATATATTTAATCTGGGAAAATACATTGTAGCTTGAAGCCTCCCATTGGCCCAAACATCC